ATGGTATGACCTCACGTGACCAGCGAACCTCATCGAGCCACTTGGCGGGTCCTATTGCCGACCCTAGAGTCGACGGCGGCGCCATGGCGAACGGCGGGCTGGACCACGGCAAAACGCCGCAGTGGGCTACGGTGGCGCAAGGTCAAGCTCGGACGAGCGTATACTACCTAAGACAAACCCAACGCGCTAGCTAACGCTGGAGAGGTGGATTTGGTGGCGCTCGCCACGGTGACGAGGCTCGCGGGGATGCTCGGCGAGGTCGTGACGCGCACGGTGGCTTACCGGCGCCACAGGTGAGCACAAAGGGGCGCGGTGAGACTTCGGTGATGTCGTGGAGTGGCTGCGGTGGCGAATGGCGAGGAGTGGAGCGAGCCGGTGCCGGTAATGGCGACGACGGGTGCTCGGCGCTGCGGTGGCTGCTTGCGGGCGAAGAAGGAGGCCGAGGCGAAGCGAAAATGGAGCGCGGCAGGGGTCGGGCGGACGCTGGCGGGGTTAAGGCCGCGCCCAGGCGCGTCGTGGCCTGCGCGGACAGAGTGCTGGCGACGCGCGGCCGTCGCCGGGGACACGCGGCGGCAATGTTCTGTGCCGGTCGGCCACCATCAGTACATTCAGCGATTCGGGCTTGATTCAGACGAAAGCAAATAGCGATGTCGACAACAAGTGTTTTCAATCGATTTAATCGCTAAACCGTGGCTCCAACTCGTAAACCGTCTTAACAAAAATCCTAGCCCTATGTACCAGCTTCAACTTTCGTTCAAGGATCATGCTCCAATTCTCAACAGAAATGGAGTAAAATCATGATCAAGTTCGGCTTGTCAGTCGGTCAATGAACCTAGACTTAGAAAAATTGCTTAAGTGTTGAAAACAAGTTGATTCGATGATTTTGAAATCCAAATTCAAGCAGGTTAGGAGCTGAATCAGTCAAAGGCCCAAAAATCAAAGTTGTTCCTTATGTCAAACACTACAACATTGCTTTAGTGAACTCCTCCATGCAAGGTCTCTAACACCTAGTTCAACTTTAGTCAAACATGTCACTTTGAAAACATGATACATACACAAACCATAGCTAAATGACCAAACTAGCCTTAGCACTAAATACCAAAGTTGTTCCTAATGATATCCTAAGCATGTTTAAACAATTTGCAAGGTCATTTAAGCATTTCATGTAGTAGTCACTCATATAGCTATTCAGGTCAACACATGAAATATCACTTAAGTGCTTGATCATGAAATGTGGCCTTCATGAACAAGGTTCCTTTTGTTAACCTAAGTGTAGCTAAGGTGTTTTAGTGACTAGCACTACCCACTTGCATTCATTTGCACATGATCATATGCATATGTTCCAAGAAACACGGAATAACAAGCAATGTTTCATATGTTTCGATCAAATGTTTCAATTGTAAATGATGGTTTATGAATGCTTGATGCTCATGCTCATGTTATGCAAGTCAAGTTATGCAAGGCTAACACCCGAGGTGTTACATCCTTATCTCTGAATAATAAAAAATTCTGGCTTCATTTCTCTATATTGCTAAGTTAGTTGATAATGTGGAGGAACACGAGAGACGATCTCATAGGTCGTCTCATCTGATTTTTTTGCTATTTTGTTCTTTTTTTTTAAATAAAATTACGTTTGCCTTTCTGGGAGATATAAACTCATCTTTGGACCCTGGGGGTCGGCGCCAGGACTCATGGCTCCGAGGTAACACGTCTCGGCGTCATAGATCTTGGCTCCAAAGTGCCTGGCCGTGCATAACAAGACATCCTAAGTGGCGTTGACGTAGCCGGTACCTCAGAGCCACATATCTTGGCTCCGAGCTCGATGCCAAGATCTGTGGCTCCGATATCGGAGTCGTGGATCTCGGCTCTGAGCTCGGAGCTATGGATGCTGACGCCGATTATGGATTCGACGTTATCTAGTACGAGTAGTTTTATGTTTCAGCGTTATCTGTACGAGTAGTTTTACTGCACAAGAATCTCCTTCTCAGGCCTCGTGAAGCTCTTTGTTATCATTTCTCTTTTTGAGATGACGTGATTGCAGGTTGTGTATCCACCGGCCATGGACGATTGCAACTAGTATAACAATACTACTACTAGTATGCTTCCCTCAAAAAAAATTACTAGTACAGTACGCACCAAGCGCTAAAAGGACGAGTATAATATGTTCCTACGTACGTTATAATACAACATATATAACTTGTGCTTTGAAGGTTTATTCAACAATCGTGTTATCTATCCTAATATAACTTGTTATCTGACTTAATATTATAGGTTATACGAATGGTATTGAAAACATAGTGTGGTAGTATTAGATTTGGATTGACAATATGTTGATGACAAGAATGAGATGCCGGTGGCGAGGAGTGATGTGCGAGGGAATACACCGACGGACAAAAAAGTATTGTCCGTCAGTGTATTCCCTCGCACATCACTCCTCGCCACCAGCATCTCATTCTTCAGCCTGTTCGTTTCGACTTATTCGCTCGTATCTGGCTTATAATCCACGATTTAAACAGTATTTTTTTCTCATATCAAACCAAATAAAGCGATCTTTCACCATGACTTATAAATCAATTCAGCCGAAACGACTCCGCGGGCCGAAAGGCCGGCCGGGCAGCCAGCTTGCCACAATGCCACTGCCAGCCGGGGCTCACCGCGGGGCCCGCTACACCTCGCCCTCCCCCGTACCGGGGACGGGGAGCTAGCGCGAAGTTGAGCCCGTACCGTCGCAGTCGTGTAGTACGACCGACGCGATCTTTGGAGTGTCCCGTCACGTACTCCTTCCGTCAGGACGCGCAGGGCCGGCCGCCGGATTCCTCCCCACCGTCCCTGTCACAACCACTTTTTGTCTCCCTTGTCCCTTGTCTCTTCGTGGAAAAAGCCGGAAACCTGACCGTGTTCAAGATAAGGCTCATTGCAGGTTGTGACTTCTACTCTACGCGGAGTACTCCAACAGTGATCTGTAAAGTGACAGCACTGACCTTTTGGCGGCCGGGCCTTCGTGTGAGTTAGGCCCCGTTTAGTTGAAGCCAAAAACCAAAATTTTTTGCATAGTAACCGTCACATCAAATCTTGCGGCATATGCATGGAGTACTAAATGTAGACGAAAAAAAAAACTAATTGTACAGTTAGCCGAGAAATCGTGAGACGAATCTTTTAAGCCTAATTAGTCCATAATTGGACAATTTTTGCCAAATAAAAACGAAAGTGCTACAGTAGCCAAAAGCCAAAAATTTTTGCAACTAAACGGGGCCTTACTGCCGGCAAAAGAGTGTTCAAGATAAGGCTCATTGCAGGTTGACTTCTACTCTACGCGGAGTACTCCAACAGTGATCTGTAAAGTGACTGCACTGACCTTTTGGCGGCCGGGCCTTCGTGTGAGTTACTGCCGGCAAAAGATTCTTCACGAATCCATTCTTCCTCAGGCCCTCAGAGTCATTCTTAGGCTGCGTATAGTTCACGAAATTTAGGAATTTGGCTACGGTAACACTTCATTTTTATTTAGCAATTAGTGTTTAATTATGGACTAATTAGGCTCAAAACGTTCGTCTCGCGATTTCCAACCAAACTGTGCAATTAGTTTTTTTCGTCTATATTTAATGCTCCATGCACGTATCGCAAGATTCTATGTAATGGTTACTGTAGCACTTTTTGAGAAACTTTTTGAACTAAACACAGCGTTAGTACCGCTGTTTTCTGCTTCCTAGATACCGCTGTCTTTTTAATTTAACGAAGCCTTAGGTACCGCTGTTTCGCCTGAACTAGTACTAGACTATTCCTAGAAAGCACGCAAGCGCATCCAAATTTTAACCACATTGCTTAACTGCCTCTGAGGCTCTGACCGAGCTGTAAGGCACTTCCTAGAATAAAAACACATGGGAAGAAGAGCTATAGCTGACAGCCCATTTGTTCGGCCGCGTCCGCTCGGCAACGGCAAGCAATCCCGGGCGTGCTTTGCTTCCTCAACAAACAGGGCGCACCCGCCGCAGCAACGATCATATGGTCAGAACCAGTGTGTCGCGTCGCGTCGTCTCGCTGAAACATAAAACTACTCGTACTAGATAACGCTGAATCTATGTTCTGCGCCAGGATTCATGGCTCCGAGGTCAGAGCCACAGATCTTGGTACCGACCACGCCACCTAGGATGTCCCTGTCTGTTGCAGACACGCCAAACACCTCAAGACAAAATCTGTGATGTCGAGACGCATATATCTCGAGCCATGAGTCCCAAGCGCCGCCCCTGGGGTTCAAAAATGAGTTTACGCCTCCTAGAGGGCTAAACGTATTTTTTTTAAAAAGGATCAAATTATAAAAAATTGGGTCGTCTCATACAATGCGATCATGTGAGATCGAGAGGGAGATGAGAGAAGAAATTTGTTTTCCAAAACAACTACCTCGTAAGCTGAACTTTAAGACTACTGGGACAACTGCTGCATTAGTGTAAAGGTTGTTGTTACCATGCATTTCACAATATTATTATTTATATTCTGTGTACAAACAAAGAAATTGACTACTCAATATTATGTGGCACGGTACGAGACCGCCTATTAGACAACGTCAATTACTCGCCACTGGTCTCCAATCATTACAACTACAGCCAAAGATAACAGAAACAACATTATTGTTGAATGCAAAAAAAAAAGTCCGAAAATTTCTCAAAAGTGTAAATGTTCATGGGCGCCTATGCTTTCCCTCCCAAGGATCCTTGCCCCCGTCTTTTCTCCATGGATCCATTCACAGACGATTACTCCCCGCAACTGGAATTCAGTTGATCCATTCACAGACGATTACTCCCCACAACTTTGCTTCGTATTGTTCTGCACAGATGATCCCCTTGGGATGTAATTATTTTTTAATCAAATCTGGCTCTTTCACTCCCAGGTGTACTCAAATTCGCCCAGGATTAATCCCTTTCTGATGTGTGATGTGAAGCCATCCGGAGCAACAATTGCTGTTCTTCCGCAACCATTTGCAGTTTCGACGGCAAGAAGCAACATCCATGGGCACCGCTCGCATGGCGGCCCCGGTCGCTATGCTCCTGCTGCTGCATCACCTTGCGTGTGCAGTTGCTGCTGGGACCGAAGCCGAGGCAGCTGCACTGCTCGCATTCAAGATCGCCTCCGTGACCGCCGACCCAGGCGGCCGGCTCGTGAGCTGGGCAGAGGTCAACTCCACCTCTGGCACCAGCTCGCCGTGCAAGTGGACCGGTGTCTCGTGCACAGATGGCCATGTCCATATGCTCAATCTCAGTGGCATGTCCCTCGTCGGCTGCCTCCACCTCGACCCGTTGCTCGCTCTACCCGCACTCCGGACCATCCTCCTCCGTGGCAATGCCTTCCATGGCAACCTCACGAATGGCGCCTCACAGCGACAGACATCGCCACCATGCATGCTCATGGACGTGGACCTGTCATCGAATGCCTTCAACGGAACGCTGCCGCAGGCGTTCCTGGAGTCCTGCAGCAACCTGCAGCTGCTGAACTTGTCCAGGAACACCCTTACCGGTGGGGGTTTTCCATTCCCACCATCGCTGCAGACGCTTGACATGTCCAGGAACAAGCTGTCAGATGCCGGATTGCTGAACTACTCCCTGGCTGCCTGCCATGGTATTCAGTTCCTCAACCTCTCAGCCAACCAGCTCATGGGAGGCCTCCTAGAGTTTGCGCGGTGCAGCCAGGTTTCTGTTCTTGACTTGTCAGGGAACCTCATGTCTGGTGCCCTCCCTGGAAGGCTTTTGGTGACGGCGCCAACCAATCTCACACACTTGAGCATTGCTGGTAACAACATCTCCGGGGACATCTCCAAGTATGAGTTTGGTGGCTGCCCAAATCTCAGGGTGCTCGATTGGTCATACAACAGACTGAGTGCCATGGGGTTGCCACCAAGTCTTGCCAATTGCCGTCGCCTGAAGACAATTGACATGTCTGGGAACAAGCTTTTGTCAGGTTCAATACCAGAGTTCCTGGGGGGCTTCCATGCTTTGCGCCGACTCGCGCTGGCTAGGAACAACTTCACTGCAGAAATACCGGATAAGCTGAGCCTCTTGTGCAGAATCGGAATGCTGGTTGAACTAGACTTATCAAGCAACCAACTGATTGGCAGTCTGCCAGCAAGCTTCTCAAGCTGCAGATCACTTGAGGTGCTTGATCTCGGCAGCAACCAACTCTTTGGTGACTTTGTGGTTACTGTCATCAGCAAAATGTCTTCTCTGCGTGTGCTGAGACTGCCATTCAACAATATCAATGGGACAAATCCTCTGCCGGCACTAGCAGCTGGCTGCCCTTTGCTTGAAGTTATTGATCTTGGCTCTAATCTGCTGGAAGGGGAGATCATGCCTGACTTGTGCTCATCTTTACCATCACTAAGAAAGCTGCTCCTCCCAGACAATTATTTCAGTGGAACTGTGCCACTGTCACTTGGCAACTGCAGCAATCTGGAGTCACTGGACCTCAGCTTCAACCTTTTGGTTGGTCACATTCCATCTCAAGTAATATTGCTTCCTAAGCTTGCCGATTTGGTCATGTGGGCAAACAATCTCTCTGGCGAAATACCAGATGTTGTATGCTCCAATAGCACAAGATTGGAGACACTAGTGATAAGTTACAACAACTTCACTGGAGTCCTCCCTCCATCCATTACAAGCTGCGTGAATCTCATATGGTTGTCTCTTGCAGGCAACAGTCTTACTGGGAATGTGCCCTCAGGCTTTGGCAACCTCCAGAAGCTTGCCATTCTACAGCTGCATAAAATTTACTCTCTGGCCCAGTTCCAACAGAGCTTGGTTACTGTAGCGACCTCATCTGGCTTGATCTTAACAACAACTTCTTCTCCGGTGCAATACCACCGCAGTTAGCAGCACAGACAGGACTTGTCACTGGAGGTATTCTTTCTGGGAAGCAGTTTGCATACCTAAGGAATGAGGCTGGCAACATCTGCCCTGGTGCCGGAGTGCTGTTTGAGTTCTTTGACATCCGTCCAGAGCGGCTGGCACAGTTCCCGGCTGTGCACTCATGTGGCTCCACGAGGATATACACTGGGGTGATAGCATACACCTTCAATAAAAGTGGAAGCATGATCGTCCTTGATCTATCATACAACAGATTTACAGGTACAATTCCGGCAAGCTTGGGGAACATGACATATCTTACTGTCCTTAACTTGGGACACAATGACCTTACTGGCGCAATTCCAGATGCATTCATGGGGTTGAGGGCGATTGGTGTAATGGACCTCTCACATAATCACCTCACAGGTGGCATCCCTGCTGGACTTGGGTCTTTAAGTTTCCTTGCAGACTTTGATGTCTCTAACAACAACCTGACTGGTGAAATCCCGATATCTGGGCAGCTCATTACATTCCCAGCATCCCGCTTCGCAAACAACTCTGGCCTCTGTGGCATCCTCTTGGATCGTTGCATGCCCAATACCAGCCCTGGACTCATGCCCCAGTATTTTCCTGATCAGAAGTCGCCTCTTGTCTTTCAAGCTGGGTTTGGTGAAGGCTTCGGATTTGGCTTCGTTATAGCTATTGGTTTAGTGACCTTGCTCCAGTTCAAGTATGAACAGTGTTCATGTTCTATGCCAATGTGGTAACAATGTGCAGAGCTGCCGATGTAACTCAAACAAAAGATGTTGTATGCACTTAACCTAGTAATAACAAAATCACTCAAAGCGCCGCCTTGGAACGAATTTCAGCTGCGGACCTGGGCACCACCGCCTAGCGGCAGACCTAGAAAAAATATATTGGTGTGGCGAACTTTAGCTGAAGCTAAAAAAAATCGTAGGCACATTGCAATCGCACAAATTAGACGATACCTTTAGTTTCAAGAATAAATACTGTTCTTGCACCAAACCATTCAAAATACATAAAAAAATAAATAAATAAAATTGACCAACCTGAAAATTTATAATGATCAATGAGTAAGCTATAATGAAATTATCATATGGCTTGAGCATTGATGAACTTAACAAGAATAGAAGTATACCGCTAGTAAAGCAAGCACGTCGTCGAGTCGCTAAGCACGGAGCAGACAGAAAGAAGGCGCCGCTCTGGCCGCTTCCCAGCGGCCGTTGGGCTGCTTCCCCCTGCCGCTGGCATTGAGCCACACGCCGGCTACCGCTGGGCGCCTAGCCGGCCAGGCCACCTGCCAAGACTACGGGGCGGCAGGGGGCCGAAGTGGCTGCGCCGCGCTGGGCTTCGCCCGTCTTCCTGCTGTCGATCTAACCTCGGGGGAGTCACAGGCGATTCGGGGTGTTGGATCTGGCCTGCGGCTGCCATCAGGATTCAGGCCACCTCTGCTAGGGCTTGGATTTCGCATGTCGCATGGCGAGAGAGGGAGGAAGACGAGCGCTTTCCAGACGCGGAGCACGACAGAAGGGCGGTTTCCGTGTCTCCGCCTGTTCGCGTGGGCTTCGGCCTGTGGGGGCATGAGCCTCTTTAACGTTGGGTTGTGGGCTGTGGGCTGTGGGTTGTGGCCCAATTCAATTGTTATAACTTAAATTACAAAAAGAAAAAAAGTTTAATTTACTTTGCTCAATGCGACAGTCACCCGAATTTTCTCCTTAAACTACAAAACCAGTTCGTTAACCCCCTCCGTCAAGTTCGAAAACTATCTGCTTTTTCCACAGCAGGTGATTTTGATGGTGTTGCTGAGGTGGCGCCATGCCGGAGAAAGGGAAGCCGGACTAAGCCGGGAAGTTCGTGAAGGTAATCGAACTATAAATATTTAAAAAGTATATCAAAAATTCATAAAATAAGTTTTAGAAAATTGCATGAAAAATAATGCATTTTAAGGATTTTCTATTGCAATTTAAAAAAAATCCAAATACTATTTACATGATAATAATAATATATGTTTAAAAAATATATCCAAATATTATTACATGATGATAATATATAAATGATATGATACGCAGAGCACAGCGGCAGGCAGCAGCAGGACACAATGCAAAGAGTAGTATACTAGTACCAGCAGCTATCTATCTGTCTGCTGCTGCATGCAGAAGGAGAAGATCCGTGCAAGGAAGTTGAGAAGCAGGAAGCCGCCCATGATGCCCGCAAATACCGGCAGTCCAGGACCGACGTGGCCCCAGTCCATGACGAGCACCACCATCTGGAAGACGGCCATCCCGACGAGCGCGACGCCGGCACACAGTTTCAGAGCCTCCTTACTCCCAGTGCATCTCCATCGTCGGCCGGTGGTGGTTCAGATGATATTATTGCTGCCTTTGTTCCCCTGATTGCCCGCCTGCTCGTCGTTGCACTCCTCCTGTTCCTGATGGGTTGTTGTCTACATCCTCCTCCTCCAGAGCCAATTAGCCATATATATAGCCAGCCAGCCAACGATGCCGGCCGGACCTGAATTTCCATACACAGGTTCGTCGGCCTTGCAAAATTAAATGACTTCTTTCGTGGACTACTAAAAAGGAAAAAAACTCAAGGAAGAGAGGAAGTTTCTGCTACAGCATGCTTGTGTTATTTGTGCCACGTGCGGAGTCTCGGCCTAGACAGTCTCCAACAGCCGCGACCCAAAATACAAGACACATTTGTTATTCGGATAGCGTTACAAGCGTTCAATACTTATTTTTCGTCTTCTCCAACAACAAGACCCAAAAGACAACTCTTTCTACAAATAAGTCTCCAAGATAGAGGATACTCAGATTTAGGTTATGCCTCTCCCGGCATAAAAAATGGGTCTTCCATATAAGTACTCTGTTGGAGGCTATATGTATTGTGATGAAGACTCATTTTGAGTTTGGGTTCCGCAATGGGTCTCCCGTTGGAGACAGCCTTAGAAAGGACGACACAGCCGGCGCGCCTAGCACACCGTGCCACAGGATCAAATGAGCGGCAGGCCTAACAAGCCCTGGAAAGCTCCCGGGTCCATTGAGCAACGATGCGCCCACGGAAACATGGACGGCCCAGGAGGCGTAAGACCAATCTCGCAAGTTTCCTCTTTGGATGGATTTGGAATTGTCTTGTAATAAACTTTCCATATCTTCTTCTTACATTGTGCATGTGGTGTTCTTTCACCATGCGTTTGGTCAAGGGACGAGTGATACTCCCATCTCTCTCTTTTTTATTGGATTATCCTGTTTTATTTATGTTTGGTTGATGAAATGATTCATTCTTGTTTTGTGTTTGGTTCGAGGGATTTAGAGATATGGAGTGGATGTCGTTTTTCCTTCCATTACCAGCCGTTATGTGTGCATCCACCTATTGTCTATCGGTAATGCTAGAAATCATACGTCTGTCCGCAGCTCTGCGCCGGACGCCCCTATTGGTGGACCCGATGTCTAGAAGGCTGTCAATTCTATTTGTTCCTATACGCTCCCCTCCAGTCGTCCTCACAGATTAAAAAAACACGCATAGCTGTGACTGCACTCCGTGACAGCGCGCTCTGCCACACCTCCTACATGCCTTCCTCTCCACTGTCACCGCGGCCGCACCGCCATGGCGTGCCCCCCCTGACCGCACATCCCCTGCTACCTCGCTGCGCGAGGTTGCACCCACCCAGCTGTTGTTGCCGGCTCCACCGCGGGCACTGCGTGCGCCCCTATCGGTGGGGTTAGTGCCATTGCTCACCGGGGGCCACGCAGCCACCCCGCCGCTGTCATCCTCCTCTACCGCGACCGCACAACCGGATCCCACTGTGTAGTGCTCCGCCCGCCCGGTTGCTCGGTTTTGCTGAAAGCGCATGTTGCAATTGTATGTTTCAAATGTTTTAGTACGTTGGAAATGTTTTGGATGCATGTTGCAAAAGTAGATCAGGATGTTGCATATGTTTAAATGGTTGTAACGTATGTTGTAAAGGTCTGTTAACAATGTTTCATATGTGTTTTCGGACGTATGTTGCAAGTGTGTTTATCTAAATATTGCATATGTTTCACACATATGTTGCATGTGTTTTGTTTGGATGTTGCGTATGTTTGCAAAAGTTTTTCAAGTGTTTTCAGATGTTTTTTTCAAGTGTTCCAGAAGCTTGTTGCAAGTTTGTATTTCATTTGTTTCAGACATATGTTGCAAGTGTTTTATCTGAATGTTGCATATGTTGCAGTGGCTATACACATATGTTGCAAACATATGTCCAAGTGTTTTATCTGTTTTATACGTATGTTGTAGCAAGCCCTCCATGTTGCAAGTGTTTCGTGAGGCACAGGCGGTCCCCATAGGGTGGGCGAGCGCCGAGGGGCGCAGCAGGGCAAGTAGACGTAGGCACGCAGCATGGCGCGGGCAAGCAACAGCAGGGCGAGCAGGGCGTGGCGAGCAGTAGGGCGAGCATCCATGCTCCGATACGCGTCAGTGAGTGGGGGCAACCAGAGGGAGCGCGTGGGAGACAACCACCTGACGCGGGACCCGTTACAGAGGCAGGGGTACTGGAGCGTTGCCGTTTTCCGCTGATCCATTTTGGCCGCTGGCAGGCCCAGCTGACAGCCGAGGGAGGTGGGCTCCACTAGCTGTCCGGGCCACACGCCGCGAGTGTGCAGGGGCGAGTGAGCCGCACCGGCGAGCACGCGCTGGGTAACCTAGGTTGAGCGGCGGGTGCAATGCTTCTGTCCGGACGCGAGCTTTTGTCCGGACGTCCGAGCGCTAGTAAACCCGATCATCTATAGACTCACCTATGTGTCACAATGCATCTATTTTTTCCGTCGATTTTATCTTTTTCCACAAAGCGTCCACAGGGCCACTCGCTCACGGCACCTGCCGCTGGAGACGACACCGTAAGCTGTGCAAGAGGGATGCCGGGTTCCTTGGTTTCGGTGGGGGCGTATTTGCCTCGTATCTGAGATGAATATTTTGGTTGGGGGAAGATCGAGTGTCCTTCCCTCATCATCATCTCCAATCTAAATAAACAACGTCAACAAAAAAAAAGTATCATTCCATTCTATCCCGTCCGCACACTAATCCAAAGACATGCTTAGTTGGTTAATGTGCTAGCTTTTGAACGCTTCAAGTAGGTTGTACCGTTTCCCATCTATATTAGCCAGAAAGTAGCCGAAATTTCATTTCCAAAAAATCTTGTTTATTCATGCAAAGATGCAAATGGGATGTACAAACAGAAATGCTATACAACACACATGTGTTTTAGCATAAAAAAAACACATAGATTTTTTTGTATCTCTCACTCTCTCTTTCTCACCAGTGACCACCGGCGAGCTCGCCCCGACGGCGGCGGTGGAGGCGGCGAATTTGTGATTTGTCCTTCCATAGAAAAAATTTATTTTCTATGATCTGTGATTTGTGGATCTGTAATCTTGTGATTTGTGTTTGTCTGAAGGTAGAAGAAGGCTGGAGGTAGAAAAAGGCTGGAGGCTGGAGATAGAAGAATGGTGGAGGATGTTGAATCTTAATCTTATAATCAGAGGTGAAGCCACGTTGAGTTTGGGTGGTGCACTAGCACCAGGCAGGAAAAGAAATATTTACTACTAAATAGCTTATTTTGACCATATAAATCAGGTGAAAGTAAACATATTTTTATACTGTTGTTAATGTTGTGCACCACCGTAAGTTTTGTACTAGCTTCGCCCCTGCTTATGATGCAAAAAAAAAAAAAAATCATGTGTTGAAATTACATAAAACACGTGGTTGTGTAGTAGACAGACTCATCTACAAAAAGCAGATCCTTTAAGTTTTTCTTTCACAATGCGATCTAACTTCCTCCCCATCTCTTCGCTCATGTGATTCTGCCAATCACCTACCTTTCCTTTCCTAAAGTATGCTGAATTCTCAATAACCATGTTGCCGTGTCTAAAGTACTCTCCTGTTTTGTTGATATACAGGCTACTAAGCTTCTCAAAGTTGCACAACCTAACCATTTCCTCAGGTACCCCGTCCTCTTCTTCCTTGGTACAAAATGGGACACCAATGAATGCTGCGATCTTCATGACATATTTCACAGGATCTGACAGCATTTCTTCATACTTTAAGAAGAGTACCCTATCGGGCATCGCAATGCTCTCTCTCCAGTACTCAAGACAATGATCCCAAAAAGGCCCATAGCCAGAGAAACCTTCGGAGAACATGTTGAAAGCTGTTTTCAAATCAACACTATGTCGTCTATGAACCTTATTATCATAGCACCACCGAGACACGAATGCATCCTTAGGGTCTCGACAGATGTACACAACCCGACAACCACAACCACTAGTTATGGACTTTGGAAACAACGAAAGGGGCAAAATGGGTGGCGAGAAGCCTTGGGGATGGTAGCGTCTCTAGGTATGTGAAGTCCATATTTCGAGGGATCTCTATGAATGGCACCACCTCCTGGGGATGGCGGAAGAGAAGAGGGTGGTTGTCAAAATCATACTGGAAGCGGTTGGTGACTGCGAAGGCGAGGGCCTTCAGCCATGTGGTGCCGCACTTGGGGTTGCTAGTGAGGATGATGTCATCGTGGCGAGGTTTGAAGCTATTTTGGAGGCGCAGTACGCTCTCCACGAAGTAGGGATGGAGCCAGTAGTTCTTGTAGAGCACAATCAGCTCCGACCACCCCTCTCTTGATGGGAGTTTGGATATAAGATCAGCAGTGCCACACTTGGGGTTGCTAGCATGGCTTTCCAATGCAATGGCTTCAGATGAGCTGTTCCTGGAGCTTCCATCCTCGGCTTGCTGTGGCATTGCTTAGCTACTTTGAAGTTTTTGCAGTCTCTCGCTGCTCGCTTGGATGGACTGGATGGGCGAAGGGAGGTGTGTAGATTGAGCTAGGCTCCTGCCTGGCTCACAGAGAGCATAAATAGCACAACGCATGTATATTCTACCGGAGATAGCGGAGGTAGGTGTGGCAAGTCAATCGTGATACACCTGCAGTTATGGGTCACTGATAGCCTCACAACTGCAGAGACTCATCGGCCGCTAGGTGTTGAATCTCCGTTGGGCAGAAGCATGCATATGATGCACACTGAAACGCTCAATCACCTCTGCCTACTCTCGCGCATCTTCGTTCCCAAAACCCAGAGTTTTCACCATCTAATCTCCCTGGAAAAACGAAGCTCACCTTGTATATTCCTGAAGAAAACGTCAACATACATATACAGACTTGGATAAATAATGTATACAGACCAAAATGTTTTATTTGCGAGGACATAGGAAGTACAGTCAAATTTAAGTTGCTTCTGGACACAAGGGACAATGACACATACATCGAGAGATCGAATACAATCTCTATGACATCGTCATTGCAATGCTGATAGAGCTATCACGACGAAGTGTCAGTGTAGTAATTCTTCGCTTTCATTGGAAGGAAATGGTGCTTTATTCGCCCTTGCTACGTAACTCAGTTGATTGGAAAAACAAAACAAAACGAAGAAGGAATCGTATATCTCCATCCATAACGGAGGAAGAAGAGAAAGGGAACAAGTAAGATAGAACCAGACTGCACGGAGCACTGTAGTAGTGCTTGCACGTGTTAAGGCTTTGAGCTAGGGGATTCATCATCCTAGCTTGGGCGATGGTGACCCCTTGTGGTGGGTGCACGGATTTGTACCATGGGATATATATGGTGAAAAATGAAGTATAATCATTTTTTTGCGTGGGTCTACTTGGGATTTTAGCCAAGAACAAGAGCTATCTCCGTGGTAACCCACTTCCCTTGGCATGTTTGTATGACTGGAATTTCAGTAAAAATAACACGTGTTAGTAAGGGTGTTGCAATTTTTTGTTTCATGACATGGCACCACAACAGAGTTGAAAATGAAAGATAATATCACATTCATGTCCTTAGGGTGTGTTTGGTTTCCGAACCATGTGGAATGAGTTGGACCTAGGTTGGGTTAGACGCATCTCATGTTTTGGTTCAAGAGATAGAGCCATTCCATTTTGTTTGGTGCGAGGGATGGAGTGGGTTAGGATGGATCTCATTGTCAACACCATTACCTGCTATGTACATGGGACCCAGCTGTCAGCCACTCCCTCACTTCTTCCACCTCTCGTAGTTCACCATGCGCAAGCACCGCAGCCATTATGCTGGCCCACTGCGAGAGTGCTGCCCTGCCCTAGCGCCTTGTCCCGCGTTGTCCCACCCCGGCGGCGAGCACCGCCCAGCACTATCCCACCCCAGTGGCTAGGCGCCGCCCTGCGTTGCCCTACACCGGCATCCGGCACATCCGGCCACCGTACCCTAGGCAGCCCTGCGCGCGGCCAGCCTCTGCATCCCACACCGCCCAGCGCTCCCTGCAGCCGCCCGCGTGCTGCCCACAATGCCAGTGCAAGCGACGAAGAGAGGGAGCAGGACAAGAAACGGAGGTCGCGACGTCGTCCAAGTGGATCGAGCCGGTTTATCCGATTTGGAGAGACCAAATCAAGACACATTTACTGGGAATACTCCCTATGCAGGATGACTCCAACCTAAACACCTTTAAATCCGGGTCCGACCCATTCCATCCCACTCCAGCCCTCAAACCAAACGCACCCATTGAACATTGATGATCCTACTCATCAACACCACAGAAAGTGAGCTGCAAATTCGTCAAAACAATACTGTTAGCCTGATTTGGTAGATGAGATCCCATTAATAATGCATGAAGATTTTCAATGTAGTCGTCCTCTCTAGAGCCAAACACAATGCAGGAAGATTTCCAACGAGGACGCGTCTTGTGTCTGGTGGTGTCTCTGCCAGCAGCTATATTTGTCTATCTATATTTCTAGAAGAAAGCAGCAAAATTGGACTTTTCAAATAAAGTTTGGCAATGGGTGATACTTGTTGATTCGATGCATACATGAAGAAAACAGTTGTGATCCAAGACAATACTTGTTCACATTATTATAGCATTAAGTCTCGATCGATGGAGCGATCCGTCCATCTCTGTCTTGTCTTCCACGAGGCAATCTAACTTTGTCCCCATCATTCATGTGCCATTTTTTTTGAACAAGTCATGTGCCATACTCCCTCCATCCTGACGATTTGTTGTGTGCAACTGTTGTGTAACTATTCCCTCTGCTTCAAACTATGACATTTTGCATTTTCTATGTTTGTAGTTTTTACTATGCATTTAGATATACACTGTGTCTAGATTCATAATAAAAATAATATATCTACAAAAGCCAAAACGTCTTATAACCTGGAAATGAGGGTTGGAGTACTAATTAAGCTCCCAAGGAACCGTATCTTATTTTTCTTTGAGAGTGAACAAGACATATTTCACCATTTCTTTTAGTTCAAATAAAAACAACCCTAACAGCCTCGCAATGCTTTCCGATCTCTCTGATACTCGAGGCTCATGTGAAGGCCAAAAGGGTAACGAGGAAGAGTTTTTATTTTTTTTAAAAGTGAGAATTTCTTTGAACAAACTACTAGAAACGCAAGGTGTTTGTTGATTATGGGCTAGATAACCCATGTACCTTTATCTAGGAAATAGAAATCCCATTTCCAAATCTTACAATGGATGACTTGTTTATTCATGTAAACACGAAAATATGATACAAAAAGCATACAACAAGATATAGAAAAACAGAGATACATATTATAGCACAAGGCCTGATCCTTTGAGCTTCTCTTCCACAATGCAATTTAGCTTTCTCCCCATCTCCTCTCTCATGTGATTCACCCAGTCACCCACCTTTCCTTTCCTAAAATATGATGACTTCTCAATAACTATGTTGCCAAGCCGAGCAAATTCTCCTGTTTGGTTTGTAGACAAGCTACTAAGCTTCTCGAAGCTGCACAACCTCACCACCTCCTCGGGTATCCCGTCCTCTATTTCCTTAATACTAAATGGAGCACCCAGGAACGTTGCAAGCCTTATGACGTACTTTGTTGGCTCTAAGGTCATATCCTCATACTTGAGGAAAAGAACATTATCAGGTTTTGCAATACTCTCCCTCCAGTACTCGAGACAATGGTTCCAAAAGGGTCCATTGCTCGAGAAACCTTCAGTGAACATGTCGAATGCTGTTTCCATGTCAACACAGTGTCCCCTATGCATCTTATTATCAAAGTGCCACCGAGACACAAAGGCATCCTTAATTAGGGTCTCGACAGATATACACAAGTCGACAACCACATTTGGCTATGGACTTCGGGAACAATGAAAGAGGCATATGAGTGGCAAGAAGCCTTGGGGATGGGAGGTTCTCCAAATAGGCAAGGTTCTCATGGGTAGGGGCCTCTATGGATGGTACCACCTCTTGAGGATGACGAAAAAGAAGAGGGTGGCTGCCAAAGTCATACCGGAAGCGGTTGATGACTGTAAAGGCGAGGGCTTTCAGCCATGTGGTGCCGCACTTGGGGTTGGTAGCAAGGATGACATCTTCCGGGCGAGGTTTGAAGCCATTTTCGATGCGCAGCCTGCTCTGTACGAAGTACGGGCGGAACCAGTAGTTCTTGTAGAGCACCAGTGGCTCTGACCACCCCTCTCTTGCTGGGAGTTTGGATATAAGACGCGCAGCATGGCTTTCGAATGAAATGGCTTCGATCGGACGAGCTATCTGTGGCACTTCCATCCTGAGCTTGTGACATAGCTCAACAACTACTCTGGAGTTTTTCCAGTCTCCCTCGATGGGAGGTTTGGATGGGCATGCATGCAAGAGGCCAGTGCAGATGGTGCGAATTGAGGTGCGCGCTGCTTGCTCGCGCGGAGCATAAATAGCCCAGGCATCATGCATGTCGCCTTTATCTAATTAAGGTAAGCACCATGCATGCATGCTGTCGAAGACTCGCAACCATGTATTACAATTGATGATTGAAGAGATCGAGCGAGAACAACAGGCAGGCATGCATGACTGTAGTGCACGAGACGTATGTACGTACGTGAGCGAGAGCCAACGCCAACTGGCCAAGACACGACGCACCTCGCCGCTCTCGGTGTGCCGGTGCAGTTGGTGGTTGTTTGGTTGGCGTCGGCGTTCAAAATTTTGGCCAAATTTCGGTGGTGGCCGAAAAAAAATCCAAAATTTTGTATGTTGTATATAATTCTAGACTTATATTTTCTATTGTTTATATTACATATTCTTCTATTTAATAGAGGTGTAGTCGTAAATTATACTAATATTTGTTTAGATTTATTTATTTTTAGAAAAAAAAACATAATTCATGTGCTAGTCTCTAAAAAAAGTTGCCGAAATATTTTATGAAATTCGTCAATTTCGGTGATGACCGAAATTTTTGCGGCACCTACCGAAATTAAAAACCTTGGTTGGCATGTTGGTCGATGAGAAACCGCCACGCACAAGACGCGCCCAACCCGGCTCTCGTGCGTGCGCTGTACACGCGGCTGCATTGCTCGCTTGCTCGCTCTCGGGTGTCTCACGTACGTCTCCTCGCTTCAAATTGGCAAATTCCTTACTACAAGCGATTTGCGTTTTTTTTTGCAGGTAGCTTACCAATTTGGAAAATCGCACCAAGATTCGAATCAGTTTGGCCGACTTTAAAAATCGGCCTAGTCGACCCTTTTTGAACAATAGCACTAGTGGCTGATTTTTTTTGTCCACAGGAGTTTGGGCTTGTCCCCCAAGCGCGAAAAATTTGATAGTGATCTTAAGTGTCTACCCCTCATGATTTAAGACTTTCTTTCCCTTCCTCGATTGATCTCCTGAGTATGTTTCGAGTGTTTTCAGTTGTTTTAAAGGTATGTTGCAAAAGTATATCGGGATGTTGCATACGTTGCAATTGTTGTACACTTATG